TTCATGATTATCAATAGTCTGTGAAATTACTAGCAAATTTAACTTAAATTTGCTATAAAAAATATAATTTTCTTTATTGTTGATTGTAGATAAGTCATATTATATGATTTGCGCAATTTACTGCAGAGGCGCTTATGGCATTCCTACATATTTGAGTCCTACGTATTTCTACGCAATTTGGTATCGTACGAAATTGTTGCAAAACTGTGAGGCTGCCTTTTTTTTCTAATTAATAAAAATGGGTAACTCTGCAACAAAAATAGAAGCGAAGTCGGAAGAAAAGAAGAAACTGAAACCTTGCTGCGCCTGTCCTGAAACTAAGAAAGTGAGAGACGCATGGTGTGTAACATAATTTTTTAATCACGAATACGAAGTTGTGTTAGGTTAGAAATGTTATATTTTGTTTACTGGACGGAAATTTTAAATTTATATTTTAATACAGCTGTTATCAGTAGTTATGTATATTTTGTTTTAAGGTTATGTTTAAAATTAATCAAAAAAAAATTAACATTTTTTTTTGTGTAATTAATTTTATATATATAGGTTTTATATCATAAAGGTTTTATATCATTATGTTTTATATTTTCAGTATCATAGAAAAGGGTGAGGAAAATTGTGGCGACCTTATAGAAGCACATAAAACATGTATGCGATCAATGGGATTTAATATATAAAACAGAAGAATAATGTCTTCATACCAAAGAAAAAAAAACGTCTTTGTTGTAAAGGGCATATTCCACAAAGAATCTTGAGAAGTCTCAGGTTATAAGCATATTTACATATATATTTATGTATCTATACTTTGTAAATAATTTTCTTTTTAGACTTGATAAAAAATAAACTATTATGTTTATGAAGCTCTAAAAAAGTAATATAAATAATTTATTTTGATTGAGCTTCAAGAAACATGAAGTACTGTTGTAATATAACTATGTAAGAGAGAAATAAAATTATACTCTTTTTCTCCATTATATATATATAAGATTTATCAGTCTAAGCTGGTCCTTTCCTTTTGCTATCATTGGCATAGGATGAGAGAATAAGGAGCGAAGTCATATTGGGAATTCTAACAAAGCATATATTTTAATTTGATGTGTGGCTAATGCGAAGGTTTTACTCTTGCATAACAATTCCACAGCTTGGTTTCCCTGAACACTCCAAATAATGAACAGATTCTTAAATCGATATATGGCGAAATCTCCAATACTATAATTGCAATTTATCATTTTTGACAATTTTTACAGCCAGTCAATAATGTTATTGCGACGTGGTCCTACTGGGCTGAAAGACAAACTTACATTTGACTGGTGCATCATAAATATCGAAGCTATAAAACAACGACGCGACGATCCCGCGAAGCATCACGCTTCCTCATAGAATGGTCGCAAATATATTTTTAACTATAATAAATAGATCTTAGATATATATCAGTACAATTTATGAAATATGATAAGAGAGTAATAATAAGAATGTACTAACTCACATAACTGTCAAGTGTATAATATAAATAACAAGTAAATGGACTTTTTTTTTTCATCTATCTTCTCATTCACAGCATTGCGTTGGACTTACGAGCTATGACATAAGTAGCCTAAAGTCAATAGGATAATTAAATAGAATATTTGTAATTAATATGAAAGTAGTTGTACTTTATGTGTGGGTAAGTGAAATACGATATAACGAAGAATGTGCAGATGTGTAATATATGTGTGGCGTATGTATGTGTATGTGTGTGTATATAGTATATAATATATATAATATATGAAAATGCGATTTTTTGGTCACTTTTGCAGACACTCCAGATTCTTTTATAGAAGCGTTTTAGCAATCAAAATGCGTCAAAGAATATCTCTTTCATATTGTTATATAAAACTTGTCGTAAAGTATGCACCGTACGGCTCTCGGCACTTTTTATATTGACTAAAAGTCGACAACGCTTTGATGGAAATCTTTGTCACAGATTGTAAGTTGTAGAACGAGACAAGTGCTGGGAACACCGCGTTGATTCTGGAGCGTTTCCAAGAGTGTATCCGTTAGATGTGAATGATTAGCGTCGTATTGATAACAGCATCACAGCTACGAAAAAGTCTCGTTTTCCAAGCTCTGCCACGGCTTTTTCGATGGTGCAACCGATCGGTACAAGACGATTGGTCGACTAAGGGTTAGCACAGCCTGTTCGGTGCGACGAAAATTGAGCAGAACATTTTGGACAAGAAATGACGATCGATTTAACACTATGTTCCCACGGGCCTTTCACCCCGCCTTGAATCTGATAATTCTCTTCGCAGAAATTTACGCGCACGACAAATTTTTATTTAAAATTAAGGATTTCTCCGTTCAGAAAAAGATTACGTACTCGTTTACAGCGACGCGACGAAGAGCCATCTTTTGATATTTAAATATTAGCTCCGCAAAATTGTTCACCGCGTCACAGGCTTCGCGCGGGCACAATGATTCAAGAAGTCAGTCCATCGTTAACGACTAGAGAGATGCAAGAATATATTGTTAAATAATACGAGATCTGCAACTATGTATAATATACTACAATGGAATAAGTCTGCTAGCGGTAGAAGAACATAGGACATCGCGGTCACGTAATTTCAAGGATATTGGATAAGATTGGTTTGAGGCAGTAGTCTATAGTCTTTGCCCGAGGCTCGATTATTTCTCGGACCAGCAACTCTCACCTGTCTTGAGGAACTCGCATTGATCGTAATACTTTACTTTGCTGAAAAAAAGAAATACAAGAAGTGAGATTAACACGTCATGCGTATTGTTAAATAAATAAGGAGACTATTTAAAGGCGTCTGTATGCATTACCTGGTATTGCGCTTCTGTATCCATAGTACCGGTTACAGCTACAACTTGATACTGTCTGGCCTTCATTGCTGCGGTGGATTTCCGTACGAGCCTCATCGCTCCAGGCGCGCTACTCGTACTATTGAAATGCGCCATTTGCGGTGGGCTATGGCTCGGATCCAACACCAACATGGTTATTGAACCGTCCCTTAGCTGTTCCACGCCCATGATTGTTCTGCTGTGCCCTAAATTTATTTGAATGTGTTAGTTTGGTTTTTAACTTCTGAAAAATATACGCGAAAAGAAAAACGCTTACCTTGATGTTGAAGATAAAGAGGTGGCTTGAAGTCTTCGCATCTTTGAAAGTATTGCAAGACCCAATTGAACAATTCAGGATGACCGCCGTCTGCGCTGGTAGGTCTATGAAAGTCCACCAGTTGACACCTGTACGAAATTAGGGAAAGAAAAGTGTGCGTCGTATGACTTGGCAACCAATCGCGTTTATGGAACTTACTTTATCCTCAAACTAGACAGCAGCGTGAATACCTCCGTGGCGCCGATCCACTTCCTAGTGTTAACGAGTTTACCGCCGAGTTGCTCCGCACCCTGGATATCAAACCCCTGCGCCCACGCCCATTCGATCATCTTTTGCAATCTTGAGATCGATGGCATGGAGCTACGCAGGGGATTCTCCGTGGAACTGTTGCCGCCGGCACCGGAGCTCCACGCTTTGTAAACTAGATCGTTGTATCCTGTATGCTGCAAGAGAGACGAGATTAGCATCTGCATATTTCTGTAACCGCAGCCCCAACCCTTATCGCCGTAAGTCGATGCGTAATGGTCCACAGTGGAACACATCCAGGTATTCACTATATTACTACAAGCCTGACTAATGGCTCGTACTTTCGGGACCAGCCCTGCAAGAGAATAATGCCAAGTTTCTTGAATAAAGTTAGACACTTTTGCGTAAAGGATATTATAAATTGCACGTACCGCGCGTACAAGAACTGCCGTCGTCGATACCGCTACTTTCGGCGACTCTGAGCTCGATTTGTCTTTCGAAAAAATCGGCCACCGTCATTTCACCCGCATACACAGCCCGCTGCATATTAGTGACACTTTGTTCTCTGAAGTTACCCTGATTGTCCATACCGTACTGCGCTCTCAACATCTCGAATTCGCGCTGTTCGCGTAGTTTCCTTACTTCCTTTTCTCTCCTCTCCATGTCCTTCGCTAGCATACGGTCGGTCGACACGTCTGGCGTCACGGGCGACGGCGTGCTCTTCTTGTTGAAGTGCTCTTCGATGTGTGCCATTAGGTCGTCATTATTTTTAAATAATGTACTAAGACATACTGGACAGGCAGGCGTGGAGTCGCTACTGATAGTAGCCGTATCGGATTGTGAACTTGTTCCGTTTGCAGGGCTAACAAAAATAAATCATCGTTAAGCAATTATTGTGCTATAATTAATTTACTCTTAAATATATTGCACGTGAATGCGTACCTAAGTATATCTTTGTGCTCGATATTGACATGTAACTCAAGATCAGAAGAATTCGGAAAAGACGTAACACAAAGGGGGCAGTTGAAGACTCCGTCCCGCGATGGCGGTGATTCCGGCGGGAAGGACGGCGAGGTGAGATCAAAGTGTTGGCGATTGATATGCTCTTCCAGCCTCAGTGGACTGTCGGAACTGTAGGGGCACATCGGGCACTCCTGCACTGGAAGTTTTGGGGAAGCGTGCGAGCGTAGTTGCAGATTTAGGCCTGAACGCAACGGTGAACCTTGACCCGCTGCACCTTCTAACACTAAACAAGAAGAATACATTAATTGCCATTCACATTCTCAGATCGAATATAAAATCTGTTCTTTTTAGCTAAACATCTTGCATAGTTCATTTTCCTCCTCTTCTATTCACAGAAAAAAAAAAAGAGGAAAGATGAATTATGCAAGTATCAGATAGTCAAGTCTGCAGAGTCAGATTTTGAGTAAAGTATGCTAATTTTTTATAGCAAAAGAGGACAATAAATTTCACATAGAGTCTAACAATATCGATAAATTACCGAAAATTGAATAAAGCCTGCTGCCAAATTACTTGTGCACGTAGATCTTTCTCAGTTTTTACTGACACAATGTATCAATAGATTATCGATAGATCCTAATCTGAGCACACAGATGGCTATGAATCTGCAGTAGAAATATAATCAAATTTGCTGTCAATCTGCCAGCAAATTACTAGTACATTTTGTACTATCTAAAAAGTTCAACTAAAAAGGACAGACTTATAATCTAAACAGTATCCATTACCAGCATTGGCATTGTTACTGTTGTTATTGTTGTTATTGTTATTCACGTTGGAACTTGCTACTTGGACCGGCTTTCTCAACAGCTGCTGCTGTTGTTGTTGTTGCTGTTGTTGCTGCTGCTGCTGCTGCTGTTGCTGTTGCTTGATGCGCTGACTCATAGAGCTACCCCAGCCGTTCTGCAGATGAGGTGGTCGCAGAGACATAGACGGCGAGAGCGCCCGACACTCGTCGCGTCTGTTGTGCTCATCCATCAACGAGTCATCGTCGATAAACGCCATCATATCATTCTCCGGGGTGCTGTAATATATATAAGTAACAGCGTTAGCCGATTTTTCTCCATTGGGGCTACCAGAGCAATAAAGCGAGCCGAACAATATTCATGCACGAGCGCGCATAGATATGAATGTCAAGTATTGTCGACTTGTCGTATTACAAAGCACGTATTACAATTCGGTCAACAAATTCCTCCCGCGTTCCTCGGCGCGTCGTCGCTTCCTCGTTTTCCACATGAATAAATCTGGTACAGCTTTACTGACACTTGCACGTTTGTTCTGTCTCAGAGAAACCTCTCTGGTTCTATCTCGTCGAGATGGGTTTTGCACTGCTTTAGATTTGCCTATGTGTATGCCTGTACTTTGTTTCATAGACGGTTGTTGACAATACACTGTTAGCTGTATCATTCGATTCAGTAACATGTAGTGACAATTATTTGAAACCGTTCGGTTAGCTTTAATTTTGTCTCTGATCATATGGCTCGTTGGCGGGAAATTAAATATCAGTTATCGATAATTTACTGATGGTAATACTGTTACCAGTCGGTAAAGTATCGGTAAAGTATCGGTATATAGAAATTAAACGACTTAGTCAATAATATAGGTAATGATAATACCAATAAATGGTAATAATAATTGATAAGCTATAATTAATATTTTAATTGCCGCAAAAACGTATCTAATATAAGTACAAAACAAGGTTAAATCGTGCAATCTCCAATACATTCTATTGTTTTGATAATTTTATTTTTAAACTCATAGTGATTTCAACTGAGACACACTATGATTGACTGCACATTTCGGTATCAACTTTCGGATGCAACTGGTGTGTTCGTCTGGTCGAATGATGCAGTCTTTCTCCAGTGTTCATCTCAGTACACCGCACAATGTACGAAAGTGAACCCGACAAATTTGTCAGGTCCATGAGTTGGTGTAATTGTCGGTACAAATACAAATAATGCCATTTCATGAAACGCTGAAAAGCAGCGTGAGTGTGATCACGTGGTATCAATTTTGACATTAGCATCTCTACACATACATGATACTATACATTTTTCATGCATTTTTATTGTTTAGCGTCAATTTTGATTAATCCTAAAGAGTCTCAGAGGAAGAGAGTGGCAAACTGGTCACGTGAATAGGACATTTTAGTGTCCACGTCCAATCAGGATGGAAACACGTGACTAGTTTTCTCCAATTTCTTCCATGTCTATGGAATGTTTTGATGTTCCAACTAGAGGAGGAGCAGTTTATCACTCTCTTCCTCTCTCTAATATATCTTATTGACCTATTTTGAAAATGAGCGTCGAACGTCAGCATGAAAAGCACCTTTAATTGTTCACGTCATAATAAATGATTTGTATTATATATTCATGTAATATTATTGTCATCAAGTATGACGATGAATTAATATATCTGATAAAACGTAAAAAAAGTAAAGCAAAAGTTAAAATTACATTGAAGAGGTGCGAAAAGTATTCATTAAAGCAGTCAATTTTGCAGATTAAATTATAGTAATGTGATTTATTATACAGAAAATGTATATTTATAGTTTCAAAGTCATTTCCGAATGTTGCGAGAGACGTGCTACGAAATAATAGAGAAATTCGAAAGGTCAACATTCACAGTATACAATGGTTTTAATATGCATCAGTGTGTGTGCACATCAGTGTTCCCAGTCAAAATCGCTATAAATAAATCGAGGAATAGTCATCATCGAAAATCTTAACTAAAAAGCTATTTCTACAACCGTAAATATTATAATACAAGATTTTGAAGAAATTATTGATAATATTTTTATTTTGGGATTCATCTTTCTTAGTGTATATATGATAAAATTAAACATAATTCAAGTAATTATCATCACGGACAGTACACATTCAATGGACGGTATGTGCTGTCTCGGATAAATGCGATTTTAGCTGATTGAAAACGTTATGATTAAAATCTGCAACATGTACACAGATAAATCTGGTTCTCAGCTAAACTAGAGATTTCCGGTCGAGATTTACACTCAACAGAATAATTAGCTAAATGATATTCATCAGATAATATTCATCAGATTATTATTCGTTTTAATATTTTTCGCATTAGGTCTGCTGGAATTGCTTGCATCTTTTATTCTCAGAATCTTCACTTTCTCTTTCTTTAATATCCAATCGAATATATATTTATCTCATTCTAAATGCGGAAATTTTGGGGATTTCAAACAACGCGAATGGATAGTCCTATGGTTTAATTTTTACCGAAACATTTCTTGGAAAAATAAATTTCTTTTATATTTTTATCCGTTCTATTATTATCATTTTTATTTATTATTAGAAGAAGATGGAGTAAAACTGGATAGGAGATTGAACTAATGGAGACCATCTATTTTTGTAATCAAGCGTTACGAAATAGAAAGTGGTAGAATAGTAAAAGTTTAACTGACTAGGGAAAATCGAGGGGAAAATATTATCTATTTTCAATGTATCTTTAATAATTTAATAGGATTTTAATGTAGTAATTTTTTATGATTACGTAATACTCTCCGTAAAAATAAAGTTTAATGAATTTATTCGATTTTATCTCACTTTCTGTTATAATGCGATAAATATAACAATACGAATTAAAAGAAATTTATATTCCACTTTATAGAAAGATGCAGTGCGCAAGAAAAGAACAGTGTTACTTTTTATGCATTCTAATGTACCTCGGAGTCAGGTAATCCAGGTGAGCGCTGTTAACGTGGACCAGCATCTCCGTAGGCGAGATCTCACCCAGGTCGCAGAACGGGCAGTTGGCGGCGCCCTGGAGATGGTACTGCACCATGTGCGATCGCATTTCCTCATCGTTGAAGCCCTCCAGGCCGCAAATCTCGCACGTGTAATTCATCTCCGGCGGTTTACTGGACGCCATTTTCAGGGTGTCCGAGGTAGCGGCCTTCCGGATCCTTTACCACATAAAATTCAGTCGAACATCATTAAGGGAAGTGCGAGGATTTATGGTGCCGGTACTGCCGATCGTAAATTTAATACCGATTCGCGCGCGCTATCCGCAATGCGAGTAACTGGGATTAATTCGACATTTCCGAGGTAAATAACGGAGGGATGTAGCAACGGCGAATGGGATTACGGCGAATCGTTACGTAAATATCATGTATTTACACTGAACGTCCTCGATTATATTGATGAGATTAAAAATAATGTACTTTTTATAGTAACACACGTACACAATAAATTTAATAATATAATTAATAGAATAATTTATAAAAATAATTTTTTATGTACATATATATATATATATAAAATTTATAAAAATAATAATTTATAAAATACCTCCGTATAAATTTATATATTCGTAAAATACAAACTATAAATAATTAGCCTTTACAATATCAATGTGTATTGATATTAATTACGAAATAATTATGTATAATTGGAACAAGAACCGTTGCCATTTATCCTATCGTAACTACTTTTCTTCGTCCCTTTCCTGCAGATTTTATCCCATTCATTTCGAAAGAGCAAAGGAGAAGTTAGGGAGAAAATGCTTCCATCTTTCCTGCAAATTTTATCTATTTATCCTATTCATTCCCGAAAGAGTAAAGAAGAAGTTAGAGAGAAAATGTTTCCATCGCGTTCGAACGACGAGTAGGATAATGCAACGAGGGTGAGGTCGCGAGTTGTGATTTTTAGATCCACTTACGATACGGCGGATTAGCATATACGACAGTTTACGAATAATTTGACGTTATGCGTGCGATTTCGATTAGCGTCTTCCGATAATCGATATAGCCTCTGAATATCTTGTGGCGAGCGAATCCGCAACTTCCGGATGATTCGTATCTTCCGGAATTGATTTCACAGGAGATCAACGTTAATTAGTTAATCGATTCAGTGAATAAAGAAACGCGATCGTTCAAATCTTCTTTCGGGCATTCTAGATGGTGCATCGAATACCGAAGATCAAATTTAATTCAATTGAGTGAGGCTGAACATGCACTATTTGACACTATCGGTATAATCTAATTCCCGAAGCACCAGCAGCAGGAGCACTCGTTCCAACGGACTCTTCGTGATATTTTAAAATGGTTCACGGTGGTGATATACGAACGAACACCTGGGAAATTTAACCGTAGCGCGGTATCGTTCGATTTTTCTCACATTTCCTTTCTCCCTCGGGTGCGTGATCGAACAGGGGAACATCCTTTTCGACAACCATGAAATAAAGTTCGCGATACGCTAATAACATAGTAGTTAGCGAATTGCAATGAATTACTTCTAGAGTCTTTTCCCTCTCCGCTGGTATTTTAAACACGACAATTGGATATGGAAAAAAACGTATCGGGACAAATCGCTGGATTTGTGGTGTTTTCCCGCAAGAGACACAGATGACACAACTCTTGCTGGAGAGCACTCCTAATCTATCAAATCACTACGATCGACTCCAATTAATCCCACTGCGGTACAATCGACTCGGAGCAATCAACGGTCGGACTGGAACCGTTCCAGAAAAACGCGTTCCTCCCGTTCGAAGCATCCTATCATCCTATACATTTGAATCAAACGCTGCACTTAAGGGCTTCTCTCACCTCCGGCGACGATCTCACCCCCGCAACGGCACGGCTATCAGCCGTGTCTAATGCCGTATCGCGACGTCGGTGCGGCGAGTCAATCGATGGACTCTCGCCAGCCGAAGGCCAGCCGGAGGTCCGTGGCAGTTCATAACTCGTTCCCCCGCGATAATAGATGGAAGGCCGATATCTCGCGATCAGCGGCGTCGTCGGCGACGACGACGACGACGAGACGCATGTAACGTCGCCGCCGTCTCGCGGATGAAGGGTGAGAGAGAGGAGGGAGGGAGGGAGGGAGGGGGG